ATCACCCAGCATAAGAATACTATGGAATAAGTCAGCACTAGCAGATGGTGTTTATCTTGTCACTGCTTGTGTTAAAAATTCCCACCTATTTTATCAGCTTCTTTAAGGTAGAAGCTTCATGTAAAAAGCTATTTTTTATAAGCTGTCAGAGAACTCCTTAAAATATAAGCTCTTGTTTTCATGGCTTCCAGTTTCTAGGACATGGTGCGTTACACAGGAGATCAGTTTGTATAAATCTGACATGATCGAGTATTTTGCTCGCAGCTCCGTCTTTCAACATACAATCTGGTTTGTTTCTCAAGCAAATTTGCAAATCCTTTAGTTCAAATACCGGTGTTTTCAAGACAAATCCTGTAACAAGTGTTAAGTCTGCTCCTAGGAGAGGCACCTGGTAGAACTGTCAGCTTGTTTTCTTCTAGAACCCAAGATGCAAGAGAGTTTTTCTTCCCCCTCAGAGTTTCCTACATTCTCATTTGATTTTATCGCACACTTTTGGCTTTGCAGTTTACATTCTCTGGTTGATTGTTTCTTATCAAAACAGTATGTTGCATGAAGAGCAATGGTACAACCTGGACTTGGTTACTTAAAGAAATCACTGCTAAAATCCCATGACAAAACCAGGTTTTGCTCATGCATTTTTGAAAGGATTTCCATTAAAATGGAAACCCAAAGCCTTCCCGGAAATGTAAACCCACATAATCCTCAGTAAGGCAAACCATGCTGAAAGCTGCAAGGTGATCTAAATTCCTTGCTACTGTGATTTAAACAGAATTATTACAAACAGTACCCACAGTATCCATACACAATATTGAAAGAAAATTTTCAAAGAACTTATTTATATCTGAAGGCTACTGGACATCAGTCTCCCATTCTCATTGATGATTCTAATGTCATAGTGATACCAAATTAAAATAGTATTTCACTGAATATAGAGACTTAGACTGGGCTACAAGGATTCTTAAACTAGATTTTTACTGTGCATAAAGGCTGTAGAGATAGAGACTGTGTGTAGTGGATATAAAGATAAGGAAGGCAAGCAATAAGAGAACCAGATGTCTTCTCTCAAACCAATGTGGGCCTTCATCTTTCTGATAGGCCGGAGAAAAAAAGTAAACTGGGGAGCCCTTTAGGATCGTAAATTAGCCCAAACAAGAACAAGTAGTTAACTGGAAAGACTAAGCAAGCATTCCAATGTCCTTAACTAAGGATTTCCATAACAGGGTAAACTGAGTAGGGGTATTTCTCCCCAGACAACCACTAGGACCCCTAGGCACCACTCCTTAAAATTCACAGCACCTGCACAGTGGCCTTATCTGCCCAAATTCCCATATGCCTGAGAAATGAGAATTGGGTGGGAATTTCATGGAATTATAATGAATATGTATATAATGAAGATACGTAAGTTGTGATCTGTCTTTTCTCAGTGTGCATGACAGGCGCAGCAATCCTCCATGCATCCGGTACCATAATAAAATCATATTGGTTTCTATCCTCTCATTCTGGTTAGAAAGCTTATTTCCTGGATTTCGGTGGCAATAGCATGGAGAGATCATCCTCCTAAATCAAGTCTCCATGCACACAAACAGCTGCATTTTGTATCTAAACATCTTAAGCACAGGACAAAATTCAATCCATCTTCTTCCCTGGAAAAGGCATAATCCCCATCTTCATAATATCACAGTTCAATTGATAATGTCCCCAAATTACTTGAAGAATTTACTTGCACATCACAGATTACCATAGGTCTTTGAGATGTATGCTTTCTGCAACAACATATCAAATACATAGCTTAGTAACTATAGTCATTCAAACCTCCTTTGGCATTGGCAGGCTCATACATGAATTCAGAGACTATGGACTCCACAACAATGTCCAGATTTGTATGTTTACAATTTACTCAAGATCATCATGTTGAAACAAACAACAAAGATGCTTTAACCACATGACAGTGGTTGCAAAGTGAACCAAAAGTTAGGAAATGGTACAAAACAGGCTGCCTGGATAACCACTGTTAGTGCACTGCAATATGTTTCTTCATTATGTGACTCAATCCTTTCTCCCTCCATGCTAAGCCTTCCGTTGCACTTAGTGGTCAGGTAGTTCGCATACACTATAAGAGGAGCTGATCCTTTCATCTTTATTATTCAATGAGAAGTGCAGGCCTCTCAGTGTCCTATTGAAGTCATACTCTAAACTGCATGCTATCAGATTTCTTCTTTTATATATTGCTCAACATTACACTACCTGAATTCTTTAAAAGCTTTCTGTTTCTGTTAAGTCTCTGAGCTTCAGTTACATTATTTTATGGCTTTAGAAAGAAAGCCAGGGTGATTTCGTTCTCTGGTTGGTTTTGTTTTTAATTTCTTGGTGTTTAGTATGAGATAGATTTGAAGTATTTTTTTGTTTGTGTGTTTGGGGATTTTTTAAATCTATTAAGAATTCTCCCAGAAAGGGAGAAGTCAGAAAAGGTGACATTTAGGTAGGTCTACACCAAAGAGAAGGAAGGGAAGATATTTTCCCTACAGGATGCTTTTATCGGTTTTCATTCCAGAGTCTGAACAAGGATCTGGCAGCAATCTTTCCACCTGTGTTTCTGAAGCACTGACCATTATAACACCCCTCTTCAGCACTTAACGTCCTTTTACCCATTACCTGTTAGGCTGCACCAGCAGATTCTTTCTCTTTAGCAAAATAAAAGGCTCAGTAGATCAAGAAACCTAACATTTCATTAGAACACAACAAAGCAATCCACCCACTAAATGAGCACACTCAATAACTGGTTACCTTTAAAATGAAAAGTCTGAGGGCTTCACTTATGGGGATAAAAAGAGTCCTCTTTTGTTGACACAACATGGGAGCCAAAAGCTTTGCAACAGTGTTTGGATGCATTCACAGCCATCTGAGGCTTTAAACCAAGGTTACTGCCATCTGTCTGGTTTTGGCAGCATTCAGACTGACGCAAAGAATCCTGCGACACTTTTTAAAAGGAACACAGTTAAAGCTTGGTTTTGGTCAATTCCCTTGAACTACCACCATAGTTGATTTGGCTGGCATCAACGCCAGTCAGCACACCTGGATCTATAAGCTCACTGTTCCTGCCTTACCACATTTAGAGCATGCAATGAACTATTTTACTATCAGATTTCATATGTCCAAGTAATTAGATTAATTAAAGTCACAAAAAGTACCAAGTTTTTCTAATGCTGTCACAGTTCAATTTTCTAAAATATGTTATTGTCAAGTCAGAGGTGAAAATTAATACTATTGTCAAGTATTTTTGAGTTGCTATGTAGTTATTAATACCTTCTCATGTTTGTCTTAATTTCTACAGCCCTGAATGATACGATGCCAAAAGTTAAAATCAATATATAAATCAAATTTGTTTGAAATTTAATTTCCCTACTATATGCTCTGACTCCCATTCTTTTAAGAAGCATGGAAATACATAAAACGGTCCTTATCTCCAGTTTGAAAACACACTAAGCATTCTTTGGCTGCAGTAGCTATAAGATGGTCACAGATCTCAGTACTTTCCAGAATTTGATGTAAGAAACTGCCCTAGTATTTGCTCAGACACTGTTTGATTTTCAAAGCATAATGCCATTCACTATTTTTCAGCAACAATCAAGCAATTATGGAAAGAAGTATAACAGAAAAGTAAATTGGGGGTGACAAGAAAACATTGGTTTAGGTCTCATTTAAATATTAAACAAGCAGAATATTATTCCTGGTTAGGAATAATTTTGCAAACCATTTGCTTAAATGCTTAAGTGAGAAGCCCAAATGGAAAGGGATCTTTCATGTAGGTACCAGGTCATTGTAGCAATGGAAGAACATAATGAAAGACAAGAATATATCTTTCACCTCATCTTGTCAAATACAAGGCAAAATTTGGAGTGTTGAGGACAAAAGATTTCACAATAATAGCCCCTAATAAACTGGGAAGGGCACATACTAATACAGTTAGTGTAAGCATACACATCTGATGAATGGAAAACCACATTTTGAACTCAAGACACATGAAGAAGATGTAAAAGCTGAAAGCTGCAAGGTGATCTAAATTCCTTGCTACTGTGATTTAAACAGAATTATTACAAACAGTACCCACAGTATCCATACACAATATTGAAAGAAAATTTTCAAAGAACTTATTTATATCTATTATGCCTTAAGATGCCACTGGATTTATATTACTACAGCTTGTTTTTTCTTTTGCTAAAAAGTATATTGCCCTTTTTTTTTTCCAAGCATCCTCATCCTCTCAAAGGCATCTTGCTCTTAGTGAAACAAAAGGTGTAGTGGGGGAAGGTAGGGAAAGGGGAGTAAAAACAATGAATTAGGTGATTCCCTACAAAACAGAAACAATAAATACACCCACCCCTCCCCAACTGTTTTGCACAGCCCCTAAGAAACAAACCTTCAGTGTCATACCAAGTGTCAGTGCCTGAATCTGAAACACTTAGGAAAAAAAAACACACAACCCAAAATCAAAACTACAGGTGAACAGAGTTATCACTAAATTTGTCATTGGAAATTCAGATGTAAGAAACATCTACCACAAGCATCACATGGGATAAAATGTGCAATTTCTTTGGTGAAAATACTGCTAGATACATGTATCAGTTTTACATTTGTGCCTGTGTGTACTCAGACTCCTCAAGTCCTAGCTCTCTTTCTTTTCATGTAATGAGCCCCATCCTGTGAAGCACCATCAGCTGCTTCACCACTTGGTGAACACTCCCAACAAAAACCAAAAGCCCCACCCTGAGTTCAACCAAATCAGGAAGGTAACTCAACAATGCAATAGAAATAAGTAGTAAAGAGAGATCAGGTTTATTCAACAGAATATAAACACCCAGGAGGAAACACACAAACAAAATCCCCAAATACATAATAAGCAGAACATAAACAGAACTAGATTAATTGTTGCAAACCCCACAAATTCTAAACTAGGTTCTACATTTACAAGGAACACAGTTTAAGCAAGATAAAAACCTTACGTATTAGAGAGTTCTTTGTCTCAGCCAGCTGCTGCCAGCTTGTCTGTCTGTCTTTCAATTTCTCAGAAAGGTGTGTGTGAAAATCTAAATGAAATAAAACAAATACAGTTTAGAGATGGCTCTTCTCATCCTTTTACATTCTATTCACCTTTGGTGACACACACTCAATAGAATGTTTCACCTCCTCCCACCCAAAACATTCCTGAATAATAAAAGAAATATTATTCAATATTATCTGGAGAACAAGAATACTTTAAAGTTGTTATCAATGGCATACAAAAAGGCATATTGAGCAGCAGTAGTACTGATGAAATCTTGCTTTGCAGGAGGTACATATACTCACTGTCAGTATCATTAACGACAAAAAGGACAGAGTACATAAAAAACTGGCTATAATACATGCATTAGAATTTAACCTGAATTTCTACATGTGCTGAACAGTAGGTATTTAAGATCACACTAGCTTATTTTGAGTGTATTATTTATTAGTCCTATAGCCAAGTAGGTATTATTGCACTCTTTTAAAGGGTAACTTTTATCATCTAAACCAGACTCTTAAAATACATTTGGAAAATTGACACTTTCAGCTGTAATATATAGATTTTTATATGTTTATCGCAGCAGCTGATGAGTTTTACATTGACCATCAACATAATCAGGCTCAGTCTGCCACATCTCAACACGAACAGTGAAGCTGCACTGTTGCAAGAATGCCATTTTTTTCTTTTTTGTCTTATAAAATCTCTCCAGCTTCAGGACAACAAATTTCATTAAGGGTTTTTGTTTTAATCTTGTCCTTTTTTATGCAAAAATGGGACCAAATTCCTCAATACAGTGTTATTCTTCTGTGCTACTCACAATTGAATGAAACCATTTTAGTAGTTTGCAATTTTATAGTTTTTGTTATATCACACCCTATAACATGCAAACGTTTGACATCTTTACTGCCTCTAATTTTCATATTTTTCTTTTAGTAGAAGTTTGGCTTTCATTTCTCTTTGAAGAGGAAAAACCAGAATTAATCCACCAACAGCTCATCTATATGACATTTTGTCACATTAAGCTTTAAGTGTGCATTACTGAATCTGCTGTCATCTCTTTTTTACCTGTGTCCACCTTGGGATATTTGATTCTTGCAATTACAAAGGGTATGGATGAGGACAACAAACTGTTCCCAAAGGAAGCTGAGACATCCCTCTTTTTGATGTGAATCCTCTAAACCTGATGGCTAAAACCTAAGTTTCCAAACTATGTTTCTCCACGAATTAAAGTTTGTTACCAATGCCCAAAGGAAAGAATAATTTAAATGTTGAGACACTTTCAGAATAGTGTCATCTAAAGGGAAGTCTCCATGGGTATTACCTTCCTTTGACACTCACAGGGAGTTAAACCTAATTGCATTTAGGGTTATCTCTAGCAGCTACACTCAGAATCAAACATCCTCAAGAGGACTATTTTTCTAACTAATTTACTTATTAGGCTTTTATTCAGATTTAGTACAGCCTTTTATAAAAAACCATCTCCAAGGGACAGTAATGGATTTTGCAATTATCTTACAGTGAAGAATAGACTATGACCTACAATCTTTGGCCTTGCCAAAAATTAGGAAAAAAAACTTTTTGTAAGTAAATCTTTAGATCATTAAGCTAATTTTAGCCCTTATCAGACACCACACTTTACATCTGGAAAAAGTAAATCCTGTGTGTATTTACTATGCTTGCCTCTTACACATTCCTCTAAAACACAACCCCACAATGTCCATAGGTCCATTTACTCCTACAGTAACCAACAGAGAGAAAAAAATCTGCTTTTGGTATATTACGTTCAAAGATAAATGAGTAGCAGCTTCCAGGTTGCTGCATCAAGCCCCAGTTTAACTTAAAAATCAACGTTGATACAGCTAATTTTAAATAATAGCATAAATACTAGCAGCTGATTTTGAAAATGGAGAAAACAAATACTGCAATTTTAAGCCACTCTCCTGTGAGGCACACAATACCCAGATTAGCTGCTTGTCTTCTGCACATTATTCAGCAAACTCCTTTTCCTTTCTCACAGCAGCCTCTTCAGAGACTGACACTGCTTCTGCTATTCCATTATGTTTTAACATTTATCTAAGTTCCCTCACAGCCCAGCAGTCTCCCACAAGGCCTGGTGCGAGACATATGCAACGTCTTCTTGCTGTCCAACAAGGCAAGGTTGTAAGTACTCCCCCCATTTTCATTCCCTATCACTATGCTGTGTAACCAGCAAATAGGAGGCACCTCTGCACCCTCTTATCAAAGTGGTAAACCCCAACTTTAACTGGTAATAAACAATAAACGGATGGTTTATTTTTTATAAACTAGCACTTCAGAAGTATTAAAAAATGTCTTACAAATAAATGCCCTGAATTTCTCCAGCTGCTTCCCCTCCCTCCCAATATTCACACAAAACCACCCAGTAATGAACTCTCACACCATTTCTGTCATACCCACATGGCTGAGGCTTGTCTCAACTGTGTCTGATTTCCTTTCTATTGAACACTTCCAGTGAGCAGGGGCTGCTCCTCTGTTAATACCTTGGTACATTTTCATTGTTATTTGCTCAACATTTATTACTATCATTTATCACTGATTATGTTCCTTGAGGAATAGGACAAACCCCGTAAGAACTGACACACCACTCACAGAACTGTGCAGGTCAAAGCTCTACATTTTACTCAAATAACCTTTCTTGGTTTTGCATTTTCATTACATTTTACCCTAACATTTTGGACCAAGAATACTGGACAGACATAACAAACATGGTACTCTTAACCTATCTGCAAACAATGGTTTATGAAGAAATTAGAAAAAAGTCAGTAATAAAATCATGCAGGAAAATATGGGAATATGAACTGTTCTGTAATAACAGGAATACACAATTTTTCTTTTCCTATACTGTCTTGAGAGAATTACTCTGCCGTTTTACTCCATTATGCTCTATCGCACATTTTATACCCACTGTTTTTTTGATCTTTTACAAAAGTCGTATTCATTTTTCTTTTCTCTGAAGCACATTCACCAAGCCAATTAAACTGAAACAGCTTCACCTGAACTGTATGCTGCATCTCTCAAGCAGAAGCATTCTCCAATAAAAAATATCTACAAGACATGTTTTATTTTTGAAAGTACACATTTAAATGTGCACATCCCAAATACTCATGCAAGAATGACAAACACCACAAAAGAAAATGCTCTTAGTTCAAGTAGGTTTCAAAGAATATTATAGTTCAGTGAGCTCAACAGGAAATACATCATTTTCTCTCTCCACAGTTGACCAGAGGTAATGTTACAAAATGGGAGGAAGAGAAATTTTTTAATCACATTTCTATTTATGACACTCTAAACATTACCAAAAATGACCAGCAACAGATCTACTGCACCAGGAACTGGATTTTCCAAGCACATTGTCCATGTCTTTTATAGAGAATCAACTAGGCAATTAGCTACATCAGAGACATCAGTCCAGGACTTCAAATGACAAATACCTTAATTTTACATTTTCATTTCCTCTGAACCAATTAAAGCATTAGGATGTACTAGTACTGTAGCAATCACAGGGACATGCATCACACCAGCACTTAGCAAAGTGCATAGATGTGTCTGTTTCTTTGTGCAGAGCTCTGTCTACACTTAAGAACTCACAGTGAATGGAAATTGAATTTCAAATGGATTTATTTAAGTCAAATTATATGGTCCCTATGTGTCTTATTTCCAAAAAGAATTAAATATAGGCCCTCTTAAGTTTAACGGATGTCTATATAGGAATTTCAGTCAATTTCACAATACCACTTTAAGATCATGCTACTAAATACCTGGCAACTTGGATGAGTCTTCTCAAATGCCCCCGAACAGTCAAGCTCTTACATCTAAAGTGTTCATAATTGCCTCTTAGTTCAACATGGTTACTGACTTGTATGAAAATAAAAACTCAAAGTGAAACTTCATAACATTTTTGCTCTTTTCCACACTGTTTTGTTTCAGTTTTGTTCTGCTTTGCTTTTAAAGTAAGGGTCAATGTAACAACTATTACTTCATGCTCTCAGGAAAGGGTTAGTATACCAATACAGGTCAATGATTCAGCTATGGGTCAATATCTCCATAATTTATAAAACCATAAGACACAATCCTCATGGGAATAATTTATTATAAACTAAGAAATGCTTCAATCTCAAATGGCAACTACAGATACTCTAAGGTTTATTGCTCTTTCTTTAATACCTCTTCCATTCAAGTCTTTCTGTCAAAAAACACTTCATTAGTTTGGCCTCTCTGTTTTTGATCAAAAAATTAATTTCTGGAAAGACCAGCATCTGACTTATTAAGTTAGTGGGACAATTTAAATTGTTGAAGTACAAACTAAACAGCTCCTGCTGAAAGTGTAACTTTTTCAACCCTACCTATTTGGAAAAAAAACCAAACAAACTACACTTAAAAAATCACTAAATCCTGGATCCTTACAGAAATATGGTTACAAAATTCACATGAACCAAGTTATACAACAAAAGTGGTCAAGCACAAAGCTGGAATTTAGAGGAGACTATATGCATTGTACTACAACCAATCAACACTTTGATTAAAGCACCCACTGCTGTTGTCACTTGGCAGCACACAAGATGTTGTAAATAGAAACTGCTTAGAGGAGGCTAAAAATAATTTTAATTCTAAAAAGAATTCTTCTCTTTATTGCAGGATACTGATATCCTGTACTTCTTCAGCTTGGAGGTGGAAAGAAAGAATAAGCCAACCAAAATACTGCACTAAAAATTATCTGCCACATACTAAAAATTATCTCCCCATACTATTTTGCTGCTTCTTTTGTAAGCAAGGGAATAAACCAGAGTTAGCTGTTCTTGATAAGACTGATCTTGTTTTAATTTATCAAATGTCAGCAGAATGGAGCACTGTGACAGCTGTGAAATAAACACTGAGGGATTCATAAAATAATGGAAAGAAGCTTTTCCATGCAATTCTAATAGCACTAAATTCTTGTAACCACATGTTGGGTGTTGTCACCCTGCCCCTTCTCCAAAACAAACAGAAGTAGGAAACAACTAAAAC